AAGGAATCTAATAAAGTGTACCAGGCTGTCACTATCAATCAAACCGTTCAATAACTTACACAGGAAAACAAATGATGCTTCTCGACATCTGCATTCCAAACTCTTATAGGTCCCTCTCAAAAATAACATCAAGATCATTTATAGTTTGCTCAAAACTTAGTTCAGAACCTGCAATGACAATCATGCATAATGATATTAGCTGTTTTATTAAACCTTATGACTTTACATTTATCAATATTCAGTTTATATCATATTAAAACTATGATTAGTACCAGTTGTAGGCAAATATCTTTTTTTAGCATCCTACAACTGCCATCTTAATAAAAATCTAGTGACTTTTGAAATATACCTTATATAAATACACTTTTTACTACTTTTGTACAATCGTGCACCATTTTAGCTACCAGTGAACCTTTGCAATATAGGTACCTTATTATACTCTTTCGTGCAAGCGTTCAGTGTTTTCGATTCTAGTGAACCTTTGAGATATTCCTTATATACCCTTTATACCTACTTTTGTCCAATTTGTCAGTGTTTTTTTTACCTATATTATTAATACCTACCTCTACTTGTATGATATTGGTTCTTGATTTCAAAAGCTTTTTAATAATAAATTTATACAATTTTTTATTTTGTTTTCTTCAGATTTTACTATATCCTCAATATACTATTTTGAATATAGTGTATCCAAGGATGGACATAACTATACTTGTAAAGATATTTATTTTAAATTGTTCAAAAGGTCTTTTTCATAATTTCTCAACGTTAATCGTATTTATTTAACAAGCAAAAGAAATTATGAAGAAGTACTTTTAAATTTAAAATAAATATTTTTACAAGTATTGTTAAGTCCATCCGTGGACACACTGTATAATGCTGTAGAATGAATTCACATTATAACATCTATAGAAAGTTTCAGAGCAACTTTCAGGGTAAGTACCGTAAAAGTGCTAGTGTGATGTTTTCCGAACTTCACTTTTTAACTTCTGTGAGATGTGCTATAAAAGTCTTGCCGTTGCGGACATTCGGTGGTTGCAGGGATGATAGGGTTACATTAACAGTACATTGCATGCGAGCTTAAAGAGCCTAAAATTGCAGCTTATTAACGTAGATGGGATGTTTTTGTGCTAGCTGGGATAACACTGGTAATAAAAAAAATAAAGCACAAAATGAAGAAACTGAAGATAATAATCAAGAACCAGCCAAAGTTTCATTTTCGGATTTGATACCATTACCTGGGCCATCAACATCAATGGCAAAGAAACAAATATCCAATAGGAAGCAGCACTCGGAAATATTTACTTCAACACCTATGAAAGCCATTTTAGATGAGAAAGAAGACAAGAAGCAGCTTCAACTGCGAAATAAAATGTTGAAAGGAGGTGGCACAAAACGAAAACTTTTTGAGGAAGATGATACTCACGAATCACCGAATGCCAAACCTATTGAAACTAGACCCAGCATTAAAAGAAGTTGCAAAAAATCGCTAGTGGTAGCAGACGAGAACGATTCCGAAGATGACAATAAGGAATCGAGTGAAAAGGAAGTAGGTGAAGACATATGTATCATATGCGGTGACGTTGGAAAGCATAAGGAATTATGGCTACAATGTGGCCGTTGCAGTGAATGGGCCCATGAGGCATGTACAGATAGTGAACGAGAATATTTTATATGCGATTTCTGTACGTAAAAAATAGTTGGCAGAACTATGGTGGGTAATGGCGACATATGCCATCATTACCTTCTCGTGGCGGGTAATAGCGGCCAGCGGAATGAGTTTTAAAAAAATATTTATTTTTTTTAATTTTCAATATTTTGGATTTCTGTAATATATGTTTAGTTCACTAGGTTAGAGGCTTTTATTTACCCGATTTTTGAAAATTCAGTATAAACGATAAAAATTAAATACACCAAATGGCTTAGGGGGCCGGCATTCCCCAACTCTACCCTATATTCCAATTAAACGTAAGTATTATTCATAACCTAGAATTATTTGTTTTCCTAATATGGTTAATATTTTTTAGATGCCTGCTAAATGTTGTGTACCTGGCTGTAACAGCAATTATGAGTCAAATAAGGAAGAGGGTTATGTAACAAGATTTAAATTCCCCATTAAGGAAGAACTCAAGAATCTGTAGATAAGCAGTATACCCAGAAGTAACTGGGAACCAACAAAAAGTTATGTAGTGTGCATTAAACATTTTCAGAAAAAAGATGTCGTAACTCACGACACATATAAAGATAAAAATGGTGATCTTAAAACATTTCCTCGTAAAAGATTTATTTTAACAAGTGATGCAGTTCCTAGAATATTTCCAGGTCTTCCGAAATATCTTAATAAGGAGGACAATAAGAGTAGAAAAGACCCAAGTGATCGGAAAGAACAAATGTTAAAAGACCAGCAACAAGAGCAAGATAATTGGCTTAAAGAGGATGTCATTACAAATTTTAAAAATTTTTCAGAACATTTTACTTTCAAACTGGATAATGTTTTGGTTAAGTGGAAGTGGCATTGTAGTGCAAACTTCGTGTGTTTTTATATATTAGATTTTAATTCAAACGAACCAGACATAGTTGCGAGTGTAAAGGTGTTAGACAATATGAACCTAGAAGTACGTACAAACCATTTTTTAATCGCAAAAGATAGTTTGAAGTGGATCTTACCTACAAATTTTTTAACATTATGGTCACAAATAGAAAATATTTTAGTGCGATACTCTGAACCACAGATTTTTAATCATACAGTTGAGTTTCTATTAGAGAATTTATTTTCAGCTTGTAGCCAATTAAAAACCAGACTTTTAGACGATAAAAGTAATAAAATTGAACAAGTTGATTTTTTCTGTGAACAATTAAAACTGTTATTTTCTAACTGCAATAAATATTCAAGTAATTTAATTTTAAAATCATTTCTAATTTACCTGCAATCCACTAAAGCGTATAACGCAATTAGAGCAAATAAATTATTAACATTACCACATCGTAAAACTTTGGAAAAACTATCAAGTGCTTTAAAAATATCACCAGGCAGTCAGTCAGAAAATGAACATTTTATAAAAAAAATTGCAGATTCTTTAACCCCACTGGAAAAATATGTAGTTTTGCAGGTCGATGAAATTTATATAAAACCAACAATAGATTATAAAAACGGTAATTTAATTGGTTATGCTGAAAATAATATTTCTTCAGAAGCAAGAACGGTTGTTTGTTTTTTAATAGCTTCTGTGTTTGGAAAAATGAAAGAGGTTGTTTCCCTACAGCCTGTTAAGAATATTGATGGAAATGATTTGTGTGATATGGTAATATGTATTTTTAATTTATTGTTAAAATATAATTTTAAAGTAATAACAATTGTGACTGTGATAATGCAAAGACAAATCAAAATATGTTATCACGTTTAACAAATAATTCCCCAGAAAAATATTATTTTAAAACAAGTTCTGACTTTCTTACATATGTTATGTTTGACACTGTACATATTTTAAAAAACATAAGAAATAATTGGATAAATTTGAAAAACCCCCGAAAAACTTTTATTTTTACAAATTTTGATGACCATTCTAAAACTTTTGAGGCGAGTTTTTGTGATTTGAGAGATTTATATAAAATAGAATTAAATTTATTAGTAAAAACTGCCCCAAAATTAAATTATAAAAGCATGTATCCTTCCAGTATAGAAAGACAACAAGTTTCATTGGTCTGTAATGTGTTTCACGAGACGACTCATGCAGCAATGCAAGCAATGCAATCATTTAATGAAGGAACTGCAGAATTTTTAAATATAATTATAAAATGGTGGTCTATTGTTAATGTAAAAAATAGCATATTATTAGGGTGCTTTTTTTTTCGACTATTTTTTTGTTTCGATCCCGTCATGAAATAATGTTGGAAGTACCCTAAAAAAAATTCCCTCAAAATTTTAGCCCTTAATATTAAGCAGTAGACCAAGGCATGCAAAGATTTTCCGCTTAAAATACACGTAAACTTTGATTTTTTTTCTTAAAAATTCTACAGTTCAGAGGCATTTTATGGTATAGTCTCGGCCATTAATAGCTTTTCTTCAGAATTGAATGCTCTACAAAAGTGCCCATTGCGGCAAAGTCGTTACTCACACCGGCAAGGTAGTACGGGTCACCCAAACCCAATTTTTTCATGAAATTCTCGTTTTTTCGTCCCTATCTCATAAATGGCAAGAGATACAAAAAAAATGCAAATGACAAACTTGTAGGAAATTTAATTTCCTATAAAAATTCCAGAGAAAAAAATTGCTAACATCGATATTTATTGAGATATTGGGACTTTAACTTTAGGAAGTATAGAATTTTCATGAATTATTGAGTTAAATTGTCGAAATTATCAATTTTTTATTTTCTAATGTCACAAAAATCATCAAATTTTTATTTGTTAAGTTGCAAATGATTGAAAAGTTGAATGACTGAAAATTTTGAGACTGAAATTTGAAATAAAAATTTTAAAAGAAATATTTTTTAAAATTTTTTTATGAATTTTTTATTTAATTTAGCCCCTGATAATTTTAATTTATTTAATTATAAGTTAATACCTATAGAACTCTAGTTAACAGTAAGATGTATATGAACAAGACAAAGAATATATGAAGTATATGTTTTTACTACTTTGTAATATGATACTAATCAGTTTTTGTTTACGTGAATTACTACGGCACTGTACGCTTTGACTTGACCTTGAATAAGTTCGAAAAATTTCCCGTTTAATTGCAGCGCTTTCTTTGTTTTCGCGTGCTGATTCCGCGAGATTAGGAACAAAGCTTCAGTGTACTGAGCGGCCCAACGTCGTTAAACGTATTCTGCGTTAAATTAGAGGTTATGTTGACTTCTAGCGCTATAAAAATGTGTGAAAAAATTGGTAGAAACGTTTACAATTACTTAATTGAATTTGAAACGACTGAAATACATAATAATAAGTTACCTTCTTATCGTGAAGTGTTAAGCTTGTTTATTTATAAGCATCAGTCTTTAAATATGACTATACGAAACAGTGCTTCCAGTGTTATCAGTGATACTAATGCCGTTTGGTCAAAATTTATGATACCGACTATTCGTCCTCAGCATAGTATTCAGAAGTTAGAAAAATTTTACACTGACTATTTATTAATTAAAAAACATCGTAATAGAGAAAAAAATTCGAAAACACAACAAAAAAACCTTGAAAAGTTCTGTCAAAAGCTTGGTAAATTGTTCGATATAGCAAATTCAACGGCGGTTAAGAATTTACCGAATGAACTTAAAGAATTTTTGGTTGAATGTCGGAATGGAAAAGTTAATCTACACACGCCAGTTGATTCTTCCTTGCCACAAACAAGTCTTCAAGATAAATCTGATATGGAACAGGCGATAACTAATGAAGATAATAAGAACAACATGAATGATATTGGTTAGTTTTAAAATTACAATATTTCTCGTAAAATTATAAATTTTAAAATTCAATCATCAATAATTTTTTAGTAATTAAGAGCATTTTAGTGTGATTGAAATAGATTTTTGTTTTGTTTAATAGTCAACTTTCCTTTTAAAATTTTTTTCAAAAAGTAAAATGTGCGATTAAAAAATTATTTCCTACAATATTTTCATTGAGTTACATATGTTGGAAACGAAATCAAAATTATGTTTGAATTTGTTATATTTATTAATTTATGTCTAAAAATACTTTATTATAGGGTTAAAACTATCTCAACAGTCGGTTTCATCAAGTTTTTGTAGTCAAACATCACATTCCAGTGGGCTGAAACGAACTTGTTCGGATTTTGAGAATGAACTCCCTGTACCTCCTAAAATGAAGAAAATCAATATTTTAATTCCAGAACTAGTATCAGCCCTAGATCGCACTCAAACTAGTGATAGAAATGCAATGTTCATTATTTCAGCTGTTATCACGAGTTTAGGGTTAGATATTGATAGATATAACGTAAGTTATTCTTCTATTCGTAATGCCCGAATTTCCAAGAGAGAGGAAATTGTTGATTCAATTAAAAAAGAAGAAATCACAGAATCTTGTATAGTTCACTGGGATGGGAAAACGCTCCCTACAGGACAAGGAGTATCAAAGGCAGAACGGCTTTCAATACTCGTTTCAGGGACAAATATTGAAAAAATGTTACAAGCTCCGTTCCTCTCTGATGGCACGGGTATGAGTCAAGCTTCAGCAGTTTTTAAAGCTCTGACGGAATGGAATATTTGCAACAACATTAAAGCAATGTGTTTTGATACAACTGCTGCAAATACAGGTCAAGTATCATACTGTTAACATAAATTTTTGACTTTATATTATTTTTTCTAATTATTTTAATCGAAAATGAAATTTAATTTTAGGTGATAACAGCGGTGCTTGTACTTTACTAGAAAAAAAACTTGGTCGTGATTTACTGTATTTTGCTTGTCGTCATCATACGTCGGAATTAATGCTACGAAATGTTGCAGAAGTTACTTGGCCAGTCACAAGTGACTCAAATGTACCTATTTTTAAACGGTTTAGAGATAATTGGAATAAAATTGATACTTCCGTTTACGAAATCGGTACCAACGATGTACGAATTAACGCTATCTTGAACGACAAAAAAGAAGATATTCTTGATTTTATTGAGAATCAGTTGAAGGTATAAATAATTTCAATTTTATATAAACAATTGTATACTCAATCAATTTAACATTTACCTTCAAACAGTTATTAACTAGTGGTTAACACTGTTTTACATAGATTAAGAACAGACATGAAGTAATAACTTTCTGAATTTCTACCTCATTCAGTTTACACATTATAAATCTTTTTTTGCTCGAATATCTTATAAATTTTATTTCTTTGTTAACATTATTGAAAAATTTATTAACTGATAAGAGTATTTTCCATACATCTCTATTACTGCTCAAATAACATTGACTACCGAAGATAATTACAATTTTCTCACTTTCATGTTTTTTTTTTTCTGTTTTTCGATTAGAATCATCATCCAAGGGACGATTATGAAGAATTTTTAGTGCTAAGCAGTATCTTTTTGGGTGGTAGTAACAGTCAAGATGTAAAATTTAAAGCTCCTGGTGCTTGTCACCATGCAAGATGGCTCTCAAAAGCTCTATATTGTCTCAAAATATATTTATTCCGTAAGCAGTTCAAAGTATCAGCAACAATACTGGATATTCTTCGTAAAATGTGTTTTTATTGTGTTATTTTACGTAAAAATTTGGTTCAGTGCTCCAAACGCGATAAAAGCACCAAATTCAGATTTAAAATTAATAAAAGATCTTATTGAGTATCGATAAATTCATCCAGACATTGCCAATGCAGCACTTGACAAACTATCTAGACATTTATGGTATTTGCATGAACATCTAGCTTGCTTGGCTCTTTTTGATGATACTGTATTACCGGAAGAAAAATTAAAAATTGTTGAAAAAATGAACAGTAAAGAAGTTTTCAAGAAATCAAATAAGCGTTATTCAGTGCCTTATGATAAAATTTCTAGTCTTGCCGATAAAAACATTAGTGATTTTATGACTCCAAACTCATCGTTTATTTTCAAACAGTTTAACCTTTCTTGTGAATGTTTAAATACTGAACTACACACATGGGAATCAAATCCTGATTACCAAAAATGTATTGACACATTTAAAAAGTTAAAAGTTGTGAATGATATTGCTGAACGAGGAGTCGCTCTTAGTCAGAAATTTAATGAAGCTTAATGAAGTCAGAAATTAAATTTCCTACAAGTTTGTCATTTATATTTTTTTTGTATCTCTTGCCATTTATGAGATAGGGACGAAAAAACGAGAATTTCATGAAAAAATTGGGTTTGGGTGACCCGTACTACCTCGCCGGTGTGAGTTACGACTTTGCCGCAATGGGCACTTTTATAGAGTATTCAATTCTGAAGATATGGCCGAGACTATACCATAAAATGCCTCTGAACTGTAGAATTTTTAAGAAAAAAAATCAAAGTTTACGTGTATTTTAAGCGGAAAATCTTTGCATGCCTTGGTCTACTACTTAATATTAATATTAAGGGCTAAAATTTTGAGGGAATTTTTTTTAGGGTACTTCCAACAATATTTCATGACGGGACCGAAAAAAAAAATAGTCGAAAAAAAAAGCACCCTACATATTATACAAGATCAAAAGAGATACATTTTTAAAACCATTTTATGCACTAAATGATGAAAGATTAGTTTTTTTAGAAATTTTTTTAAAATGGCTTGATAGTTGGAAAGCATTGAATAACAGTTGTTGTTTATCAAATGACACACATAATGCATTATATCATTCAACTTATGTTATTTTATCTTTAATAAAATTCTGTCTTACTGAGACTACATGTAAATATGTCCTTCCTGGTAAATTTCAAACTAACAATCTCGAGTCCCGATTTGGTATATACCGTCAATTATCAGGAGGTAACTACAATGTAAGCCTTAGACAAATCTACGAGTCAGAAAAAAAAATTAGATTAAAAAGTGTTTTAAATTTACATTCAGCTCGATATGGTCAAATTAAATTAAATTCAGTTGACTTTAAAGAAACAGTTTCTATGACGGATAATCCACAATATGATATAACATATTTTTTAAATATTTTACAAAATGATTCCATCAATATTCTTTAAAAGGTGTCAGATTCTGCAATAATCTATATAGCAGGGTATGTAGGTTTTAAGATTTGTAATACATTGACTTGTCCATACTGCATTGAAGTTTTACATAAAAATCAAGATGAAATACTGGAACCAGAAGAACAAACCTATTTTGACTTTTTAAATAGAGGTGGTTTGACTGTGCCTTCTGAATTTATGGTAACAGTTACAATTATTGTACATAACATTCTAAATTTTCTAATATCAAAAGAATATGAAGAAGATTTTTTAAAAATTGGCGATCAAAAACGTATTTTAATAAATTTAAGTAAAACTTATCTTGATAACAACAAAAAGCAATTTCCGTATAGAGAGCTCTGTATTTGCAATCAATCACAAACGCAAATGATTTTGAATATGGTACTTCCAGTACTTGCAAATATTTTTATTAATAACTATACAAAAACCAGGCAAGATCAAATGTTACTAAATAAAAATCAAAAAACCAAGCCTGGAGAGAACAAAATAAAAAAACGAAAGCTTACTACTATAGAGTAATTTTTATATTAGTTAGGTAAGTAATAATAAGCATATTTTCGACTATTAAATTTATGTAAGGTGATATGCAGTTTTGAGTTGTATAAGTGATTTTTTTTAAATAAATATGTATAATAAGATCTTGTATTATTTCATCAACAGTTGCCCATGTTTACTTTACATATATTATGAATGGAAACACTTTAAGGTAACATATGAACATATCAAGTGTGAAATTAGTAATATTACTAATATTATAAAAATATATCCTCACAAGTAAATTAAAGGGGATTATTTAATCCATTTCATTTATACTCAAATATAAACCTCATACATTTAAATTTACTTTCCAGTATTTTTCACGACATTAAGTATTTAACATGAAGAGTTATTTAATTTCAACAATTTACAAGTAGAAAAGAGATGACACATGATCTTCGGATTCGATTAAAAGTCGCGAAAAATGCTGTTATTTATTAGTGGTCCGATTTAAAACCGGCCCGCTATTTGGAAGCCGAGCGACGTTGCCACATCTATCGCTCCGGCCTGTAGATAAAGATGGCCGTGGCTATATCAACGATTTTCCTGGCTCTTGAACACATATTTTCAGCTCCGTATCAAACACTCTATCAAACACTTTATTACTTTATTAAAAATCCGCAAAACAAATCAAAACATCGAAAAACGTTTTACCAACGTATCACAATAGCACATGTGGCTGTCGCACGACTAAAGCGATTATGTGCACATAGTCGTTTTTACCTGTATATTTTTTGTGTCTAAGAAGTTAATAGGCAAATAAAAAATCGGCTAAATACGCTTAGTTGGTGTTGGCAGAAAAACAAGATCCGTGTGTCAGTCAACGAAAAACGTTTAAATTATTTTAGTCGTTTTTAATTGAAAAGTTTTGTCTCTTCTTGGTAATAATTTAGAAGGCAAAATAAACTAGGTTGTTATAAGTTATTATTCCAGAAAACAATAGGAAATATTTCATATTTAATAAACTTATTTGATTTTTGCTGAAACGTTTGACGTTACATGGAACATAAAATCGGTTTTGAAACCAGCTATTTTCGAGATGAAATGTCGCATCAATAAGTTGATTTTACCAGTACATAGAGCGCAAAATTCTGATTAAGGTAGTATGAATAACTCATTTTTGATAAAATATGCATTTAGTCGTTTTTTGCAGAATACCCACGATATAAAGTAATATCATCTGATAATGAATATTATGTAAATACTGTAATAGAGATGTGTACTTGCTTTATAGGAAAAGTAGGTGCACCTTGCAAGCATCAGTATGCTGTTGCAAAACAATTTAACTTGACATCTCAACAATTCTTACCGATTAGTGACCCAAGAGAAAAAATATTGTTGGCCAAATTAATCAAATGTAATTTACCAGATAGCTGGTTTAAGAGTTTAACTGATCTTGACATTGGACTCCTTGGGGACTGCACAGAAAATGGAAATGTTGATAAGGATCATAATGAAAACATTGATAATACAGTTATATTAGAGAAGAGAAAAGAAAGCTCTTTACCAGAAAAGGAGAATGATATCGATCAAGAATTACTAAAACAGACAGAGGTTAATTTTAATGAAACAATGAATTTAATTTTAACGAGATTTAGAGGTAATCCAAGTTTATACTTGGAACCTATGATAAAATTTTGTGAATAGGTTAAAGGTGTTAACACAGATTCTGCAATGATATCGGCATTGCATACGTTTGGCAAATATTCAGGTCTACCTGTTATAAAGAAGAATTGTCAAGGTAGTAGAAAAATTGGAGTACAGCCAACAGCCATAGCTAGGCGGAAAGTGCCACTAGGAGGCAGAAATGTAGCTGTTAGTGGCAGACCACCTAAAAAACATGAATAACATGTATATTGTAAAAGGAAACGTATTACTGTTTCTGATTTGCCACCCACAAAAAAGGCAAAAGTGCCTCATTTATTATCTTTCGTAATTGATAATACTCTAAGTACATAATACTATAACAATCAATAATAAAGTGATTTTCAATTGTTCCAATTGTTTTTTTTTCTTTCAATTAATTTTGTTTTTTATTTATAGGTACAACTGTTGCCGCTATAGCAACAAATAATAAAAATAAATTAAAGAGGGCTTCTCTAATAGAAACGTATTTTCTCACTTGTTCCTTTTACTATAGTATTTAAAAAGAATTACATAGTATTTTTCTGTAAGTAGGGGGAGGGTGGGTTGCTCCACAGTACTTAAGCCTCACTAGGCTCATTGTTGCATCCTCCCTACATAGTATTAACTTGTACCAAGTTGCGTAACCCTTCATGTGCGACTCGCACTTGGCTGGTTTTATTTTAAGTTGCACTGAATAAGCAACTTATTTACATCTGACTTAACAAGTGTTTGAATAAATTAACGTGTATTTCAATCAAATATTATGAGTTTGTTTTATTTACCTAAATAATAGATAGTTAAGTTAAATTGGTGGATGGCTAAAATGTATGAAAATCCCTTATACTGTGCACCATAAATCTTCTGCAATCCACCCCTCGATTCAATTTGTGCTGATTAGCTTTAATAGCTCCATCAAATTTTATGGTACATTTACCAAATAATTTAATGGTAGAAATACCATGTACCTACATATCTTTTTTTTGGTTATTTGTTCTAACTTCCAACCATCGGATTAAGGACACCCTCTGGTTCATTTTATAGGTATATCAAATGTGTTTGGTTCGATTTAGTGTGAAGAAATCAAATTGCTAAAATTTAAAATCGTGGAAATCCTCATCGATATTAGCCGACGCCGAATTTCGCGTTCGCGCCATCTAATTCAAACTGACCTTCCTCGAGACAACCAATCACAAAGCCTAATTTTTGTTCCTATTCACAAGTGCACTAGGAATTAAAATCACGCGGTCGTCGGAGCCTAAAAAAAAACCCTCGTAAGTTGACTGAAGATGAGCTTCAGGCAGCATTGTATGAATTCTTTAGCGACTTTGATACTGATGAAGAGTCGGATTACATTCCTAGTGACGACAATGACGATGAGAGTTTCTACACATCCGACTCGGGTAAGTGTGTTTGTTATGTTTTTTTTTTGTACTTGTTTTAATTTCAGATGATGATGTACTTTTTATAAATTTGACAAGAATTAACGTGGCCAATGACCAAGCATCAAATAATGCAGTGCCTAACGCCGATAATGCAGTGCCTGACGCCGATATTCCTTTTTTATGGGACAATTCAATGGGATGTGCAACTTCCCATTTTCGAAAAGAATTGAGCTTCTGGTGTCTTCACCGGGTGACAAACCGTTTCCGTTTCCTGCTCGACGATTTCCTGAACCAGTATTTTGTCAGCCAGGTATATCCGATAAATCCAGAATTGTTCGATGGAAACCATTATCGACAGGTGAATTACTTACATTTTTGGGTCTGGTATTGCACACAGGCACAATAAAATTAAACAAAATTCAAGACTACTGGAAAGTGCTACTGTTCAATTTTAAATGTTTTTCGAGTCATATGAGTCGTGACAGGTTCCTCCTGATTATGCGATGTTTGTATTTCGCAAATAATCCTACTGAGGGCAAAACGACATATAATCGATTATATAAGGTATCACCCATTCTGAATTTATTCAATCAAAAGATGGCTGCAGTTTACTACCCAGGAAAACAACTTTCCATGGTTTTATGGAGGGACCGCTTGTTATTCAGGCAATATATAAAAAACAAGCGGCATAAGTATAGAATCAAGCTCTATATGCTTTCGGAACCAAATGGCATCATTTTAAATATAGCTGTGTACACTGGAGTACTAGATAGTAAAGGAGGAAAGGGACATGCGGTAAACGTTGTGTTGCATCTGATGGAAGGTAAACTGAATTGTGGCCATTCACTTTTCTTTGACAACTTTTACAACAGTTGTGGCTTAGCAAAAACTTTACTACAAAAACAGACTTATTGTACTGGAACACTTCGTGCCGATCGAAAAAATAATCCAAAGGAAGTTGTTAAAGCAAAACTGGAAAAAAGAGAGACTATATCCAAATATTCAAAGAAAATATTGGTGGGAAAGTGGAAAGACAGGAGGGATGTTCTTTATATATCAACGGAGTTAAAAAATGAAATGGTTGAATATACAGATAAAAGAAATAGAGCACGAGTAAAGCCTTTGCCTAGCCTTGAATATAACAAGTACATGGGAGGGGTCGATAGACAGGATCAAATGACCTCGTATTATCCATGTGGAAGGAAGACGCTTCGGTGGTACAAGAAATTAGGTCTTTATATTATCCAACTAATGCTTTTGAATGCGTATTATTTGCATGGAAAATATTCTTTACAACCAAAAATGTCATTTTATGATTTCCGGCTGGCGGTTATAGAAGAGCTGTTGCAGACAAAAGCTACTCCGGATTCCAAAGCCACAACAGTCGCTTCCCACCACCCAACAAAAATTCCTAACGTTTCTACTAAGAACGAAACCAAGAGAAAGAGGTGTAGGGTATGATCGCAAAATAAAATTAGAAAAAGCACTATATTATATCACTGTGAGAAATACCCTGATGCGCCTGGCTTGTGTCCAGGAAAATGTTTTGTATCATACCATGCCGAATAATGCTTTTTATCTTACAAAAAAATATTTTCAACCTCCATTAGAGAAAAAAATTAGTTTAATGATTTTCCTCAAATTCTTAAACAAGGAAAATGAGATAAATCAAAGACTTAAACTCCTTCTAAAGGATTGGGAGTCAAGAAGCCCCTAGAAATAGAAAACAACACATTACACAGGTAAAGGAATCATCATGAAGAAGAAAGTAAGAAATCTATGGAAATCAAACAAAGATTATGTAACCGGAATGTCAATCTTGAAGAAATAACTGACAGTATTTCATAACCCGTGTCTTGAGAAATGTATTAATATTATGTATCTTTTGGCATGATACCATAATAAAAGAAGTATTATGGCAAAAAATGCTTTTGCTATGAACTGCAGAGTCCAAATGGAAGCCTCATATTCCTCTTAAGAATGATGGGACTAATTTGATAAGACCCAAACAATATCTTGCTGTAATGATCTGTGCTATGTTAGCCAATTCTCTCTCTTTAAAATAGTCTGTAAAACCTGGCGATTCTAACAGCTGGTGCTTCAGAATCAACACATTTTTCATTCTTCTTGTAGATAAGTTTGGCTATAGTGATACATTAAGGAATACTTGTTCAAAGTTCATTTTCTTCTATTCTCTGTTTAGATACAATAAATATATTGACTATTTTTCCATTTTCTTTTGCCTCATCGACTAGGATTGTCGTATGGTACCTGTTGCTGCTTTTTGAATTTGTATTGGAGTCATTTAAATATCAAACCGTTTTCCACTTGCTCAAGAATCTAAAACAAAAATAATACCGGTGTTAATAACAAAATTTACTCATGAACAAACGATATATACAAGGCATGAAAAAAGCGTATAAAGTTGCAGCTGAAGTGTTGGAGCTTTTTTCGTCAAAATGTCACTAATTCAAGTATAGTGTGATACATTTTTTATATCTGTTTTGCAGTGTTCATCTACTAGTGTTTTTGAATGTGTCATTGTATTTTTATTTTTGTATATTTCTTGAAATAATTTCGTGTTATTGCTGAGTGGTAAGTAATCATTTTATCATATTTTAATTTAAAATAAATTATTAAGTTCTCTGCCAATATGGTAGCTTGAGTATAAACAATTGTGCTATTTTTTTTAGTAATCCTACTAATATATAAATACGAAAGTTTAAATGTTTGGATAAATGTTCGTTTGTTACTCAATCACGCCAAAACAGCTGAACGGATCAGGATGAAATTGGACACAAAGATAGATTATAGTCTGAAATAGGATACAGGCTACTCTTTATTCCGAAAAAATGTACGGTTCCCGTGGGATAAATTTGTTTCGTTTTAACAGCAAGGGATCAGACATGATTTTTGCACAGTGGTAGTGAAACAAAAAGTTGAAATACAGCTACTGAGCATAAATAAATAAATAATGATGTATTTCAGGGTTTTTGATTTTCACATTTTATGGGGGGAAACGGGGCTTGAAAGTTTGTGTGGAAGTATCGATTTTTTTAAAGGTAAAAACTTGAAAATTGGAATTTTAGCTACTCATCACAAATAAATATCGACATGTTGAGGGTTTTTGGATTTTCATATTGAAATGGGGGAAATGAGGGACATGGAAAAATGGGGGAAATGGGAGACTGGAAAAACTGTGGGAAAGGGGGGGTTAAAGTATGTACGGGGTATCGATTTTTTAAAAGAAGGATGTTGAAAATTGGAATTGTAGCATAAGTAAGGAATGACGTATTTCAAGGTTTTTGGATGTTCACATTTTAAGAAGGGGAAATGGAGAGTATTGCAAAAATACATAATAAATAAAAATAACTAAAGATTAATAAAATATAATAAAAATGATTAAAAAATAATAAACATTAATAAAAATCAATAAAAAATAATTTTCTAATTCTTTCCAGGATAGGATAGTTTTTTCGTAAAGAAATTCATTCGCTGGATAGTGAGTGGGGTTTTCAGGATGTCGCATCTTGGTAATGATTCTTAGTGAAGAAGTTTCGGCCACTTGAATGTTTTTTAATGCAGGTTTTAGGCAGTTTAAATATATAGGAGAGGTCTGCAAATTGTTTTGTAGATTTTAGTGGCCGTGTAGATGCAGGGCTGGTATATCTAAGGGGGTCGCGACATAGTCCCAGTAAATGGATGAGGGGGTGACTGAGGCTAGGGGGGAAATAGTAGTCAGCTTAAATTGGCAACACTTTTCTGATGTTCGTTTGGCAAAATCCACGGATATCGTTTGTCCTGTCGAAATAGTATTATAAAAACAGACAAATCTACTTT